ACAGTCAGGGACAGCTGCGCCGAATTGCCTGCGATCGGCCTTCACAACCTCCTCTTTGGGCCGTAGCCCAGTCTTATCCGAGTCAAGGAGGTGAGTGAACCTAAAGCTCGGATCAGCAAGTCAAATGTGCGGAACATATACACTCACATATGCGCCAAGCGTACCGTCCTTGCATCCGCGAGGCCGTAAGCGTGCACTGTAATGTCATGATACATGGAATATATTCCGACCTTCCTGTCTGCCATGCCTTGTAGCAGAACTCTTAGCAATTCACTATGGCATTGTGAACGACGCTGCCTCGCAATGCGATTAAGGAAGTCAGGCACTTTCTCAATATCTCGATGGAAATTCTCTGAGATGAAGTTCTCTTCGGGCACCACCAGGTCCGCGTTGCAGAAGGGCCGCACAAAATTCTGGTCCCATACGACCATGACAGTGTCTGAATCGACAATGCAGAAGCTGTATCAGACGATAAGATGAGTACATACCCCCATCGTAGTCTACAAGTGTTTGAAGGTCAGAGAGGGCACTGATAAGGTACTTCCACAACTCGTACCTCCGCCTGCGAGATAGCTGGCCAGTGAGCGCTTCCCCTTGCACGAGACCACAGCAAGGTTGCTGTAATCAGCGAGCTGCGGGCATCGCACAGCAGTGACCTGAGTATAAAGTCAGCATCACAGCATGCCTTTGAAATATAAAGGAATGATATAACTTTTTGCACGTCCGAAGGCACCCTCGTAGGGTTCCTGCTCAGCTGAGAGGCGATGAATCGTCCGCAGCCAGAAAGTATACGACTAATTACATACCAGAACGGGACCTTCCAGTGTGTCAGTGAACATCCCCTCGAAACCCTGATTTGATCGCATATAGACTTCTCCTTCCTTCAGAATATGGAAAGGGTCTTCATAAAATGATTAACAAGACACATGAATTCAGCACCAGCATGCTGACTTACCAGGAACAACGAACACTTCCACTGATTGAGCAATGTTAATGTGGTAACCAAGCATCTCACTCTCAATCTTTCGAATCAAGATGTCCTTCACTTTGTCCCATAGCAGCTGCAACTTCAAGGGATGGAATCCTGCCTTCAGTAACTCAACTGCACTCTCGTGCACGCTAACCGGAGTGGACTGGGTGTCAAAGCCAAACTCAGCATCGAACGAATCATCGCCGTTATCGTCAAACGTATTGAAAGGGTTCTCTTCCTCTGCGTCCTCCCGGCATTCCCTACCACTAAATCCAAGTGCACGGCTCATGCCCCCCGCTAGCCTTTGTAGTTTGGTACCAGAAACGCGGCCAGCTTTATCGATAGCATCGATCAATAGCATTATGGCATTCGGTCCATCCCATTTGGTGAGTTTCGCCACTTCCTCCCGTAGACTATCAGCCATTGCTGTGGCAAAGACCTCAGTCGGCGGATCCAATTGGCCTATGGCTGGGGCACCTCATCTTCGATTCGGCTGTGTCAATCATTATTGCCTCCGTTATTATAACCGTATTCGCCAATGTATCGAATCAATTCCATGGTTTGGGATTCTTCGTGAGTCGATATCCGCCATTGCGGAGTTTACCTTCACTTATGCCTTGTCTATCAGTGGGTTGTCCTGGTGCTATACGGCTTTGTTGGAACGTTGTTTGCTTATTGTGTTTCTTTGATCACGGCGTCTCCACTCGCCGCCTTTGCTGCTACAGCTGGTTATCAAGTCATCATGTTCGTGGTATGTGCGTTTCCATCAGGGACATAGACCATCGTATTCATGAGCTGTTCTGGTGAAGTTATACCTTGCAGCATACCTCCTCACTTTGACATACGCAAAGACGTCTCAAGCAAATCAGATAATTACGACTATTCGTAGGTCGCGTACACGCCTCTTGCGCGCCTTACAATCTGACCGGATCCACAGACTTCACATTATCTATATTGTCCCCGGTAGCGAGCGTGGTATGTGTTGCCTTTCCTGCCTTTCGTGCGCACTACTCACCAACGGCCTGAAGATGCGTGCATGTTTCATATCCATCAATCTTTTCTCCCTCCTCTGTGACGGTACACGACCTATCACCACCGCGGACATGGGTAATATCATGAGATACGGAGGTCCTATACTCTATCTCTTCATCTACGGGTTCATCCTCCTTGGCATCCTTGTCTGGGTTGATTCGGGATCCACGATTCGCCGCCTTATCCCTGCTTTACGCACCCGCAAACGCAAGATTGGTATGGTGCCTCAGACAAATCGATCGCAAGGTTCCCTCGCGCAGTCCAGCAAATCAGTGCCCAGCGATGTGCTGGCGGAAGCACAAGCTGTAGAGAGTTCGAATGATGCGCTCCGGGTCTTACATGTCGTAAAGTCCTTTGGCCAGACGAAGGTTCCCGTCGTGGACGACGTGAGCTTTGGGGTCTCCAATGACACTGTGCTCGCTCTGTTGGGACCCAACGGGGCTGGAAAGACGACCACGTTTAATATGATTCATTCGTATAAGGTCCTCTCGTGTTGCAGGCCCATAGCTCACATCTGGAACAGGTGGAGACGTCACACCGGACTCCGGTGATATCATGATAACTGGTACATCCGTGATCCAACATCCGCGCACTGCTCGTCTGTCGTTAGGCGTCTGTCCACAGTTCACTGCTATAGACCCGCAGTTGACAGTGCAGGAACATCTCGTAATATATGGCCGATTGAAAGGCCTCTATAGAGGGCAAGAGCTCAGGCGTAACGTCGATATGCTTATGCAGGCGACTGCACTAGACATTTATAGAGATAGGCTGGCAAGCAAACTTAGCGGCGGGAATCAGACAAAGCTAGCGTTGGCTATTGCACTAATGGGTACGCCACTTGGAGTATCCTGTGTAGTTGGCTATGGTTGCTAATGGACTTCCGATAGGTAACCCGTCCGTGGTCCTCATAGATGAATTCTCGACGGGTATCGACGCTAAGATGAAGAGAGAGATGTGGGGCACTCTGCGCAATGTGGCTGCAGGCAAAGCGGTGGTAATCACTACACGTGAGCAATCATCGTACCTTCGATATTTTTTCTGTTGCTAAAGCAGGTATCTCGGGAAGACTCCATGGAAGAGCATCCGCTCTCGCCAACAAAGTAGGCATCCTTGCAAAACGCATGTTAGGTTAGTCATCCTCGTTAATCTGACCACGTCTAACATCCGCTAATTATTTGTTTTCACGCTACAGCGGTCGGTACTACGACGGACCTCGTGTCTCGTTTCGCTTCGTACGAGGTGCATTTCTCCACTCGCTCGCGAGAAGAAGTCCTCAAGGCCAAAGAATTGATGACCCGTATCGTGCCCGGGTCGAAGTTGAAGGAAGATGTAGCCACCCGCTTCGAGGTACCCATAAGGACCAGCATGGATGGTTCCGCTCAGACAGATGCCGGTGACGAAGAGTATTTGACGCTTGCCCGCCCCTTCCATCTTCTCTCTTCACAAGGAGATTTCTCCGAGTATACTGTGGAGAGGGTGAGCTTGGAGAGTGTGTTCTTGAGAGTAATCGGAGAGCATGAGGTGAGAGAGGAGGAGGGTGACGGTGGAAGAGGGCCGTGGTGGAGAGCTATATTGAAGGTGTAGGCCATGAGAATGTTCCGGTTCTCGTGATTGATTCTCAGTGCTTACATTGCTATGGATTATTGTCTTGCATTCGGACACCAGTTCAAGATCATCTACTGTATCTTTAGGCCGTTTCGTCGCAATATTTACGGCACAGATGGCAGTATGATGTTTAATTTTCGCTGCGAGTAGATAGAATTTTCGTTTTATGCCTCAAAAACAGGCTCTTGGATCCCATCGCCTTTTATGTCAATTACGTTTGTATAAGACAGATTGAGCTTTTCCTGATGCTCGAAGGGCTCGACTGGGGGAGCTGTGGATGTCGCATGCCATATCGACGGCGGGTGAGCTTGCTCGCCGACCGCGTGGGGGTAGGCTATGACACTCAATCACTTGGGAAGGCATTCATATTTGCATGGGACGGCGTCCGGGAGCCGATCGACAGCTGCATGTAATCGTACTCGCGGCTGATGCCATATATCTACTACTGGTATGGGCATAAACTGTCTCCCCGTAATTGTCACACTCGCATCATACCTGTTGCATGCATTGTCTTCCAATTTTACCCTGTTCCTGGCAACGCACGAGCGGGTTCCAGCTGCGCACGAACCAGGTGCAAGCATCCGTGGTGCAAGTACTGATTGTCATTCCCTGATGGGCGAGTGCACGTAGCACGCGACAGCGGGTCAATGTGGGCTCAGCCGGAAGTATGAAGAAAGGACTGCCTCCAGAAGGAGCGGAAGGCGAAGACTACAAATCGACCGCATAACAGCCAATAAGATCAAACGTACCCCTCAAGCCGCAGACTGCGTAAAAGCCACCTGGCAAAATACCTTAGATAACCAACAATTCTTACCCGAAGCTTGGGCTGGGTATCAGGACACCCAGGACTCTGACTTAAAGCTGCATCCAGGTGCTCTCTCGAGCCCCACACTCTCCGGCCCCCGCCGGAGGTCGTGCGTAAAGGCATTTTTCCTCAGACCGGATTGTTCTCAATCCGCTATAGCACATTATGTAGGGCTGTACCTATAGTCAGTTGCTAGATAATAATATCGCGTGTCCAAAAAAAAAGAAGGAACGGAAGGAGTATCTGCGACCATTCAATTACAATGAATGAGGGAGAGCCAGGATTTGTGATGGGCATGAATTATGATATGAGCAATAGCATGGGACAGATAAGACCACGTCGACAGGAAGGCAGAGGGGAGGGGGAAATGGAACTGACCCGAGGATGAGGGGAGCACGAGAGGTGCACCGGTACCGATTGAATGCCAATGGGATCAACCACACCTGAGGGCTTGGCACAACCTCATTGATTGCTCTATGTGCCAAGACTGCACTTCATTCTGGGAATCCTGTTCTTACCAGCTATGGCCATACTACTATCTGATCAGCAAGGCCTTCGTGCATAAACCATTCTCATTTCCTGGGACATTGCCGCGCTTGGTTCATGTCGGGTCCTTGATATGTTCGAGAACCTTTATCCTTTAAAGTGAGTTCCGGGAGCTTAGGGATGCACTCACGTAGCTCATCAAATTCCCTAGCACAGTTGATCTTCCCTTCACGCCTGACAAAACGCGTCCCGACACATTACCACAGTTGAGTTGCTGAGTTGCATCCAACTGGGGGTATTGGATCTCGTGTACTCGGGCACCGTAATCCTGACGACTCCAAAGCTGCCCAGTGACTTATTTTCCGTGGTCTAGTTGGAGGGCCGCAGAGCGCCTTGCCTCGGCGCTGATGGAGACACTAGTATTATCTACCTCACCGATGAAGTGGATGTGTGAGCAACAGCCTGAGCTAAATGTGTGGTACCATATGGCCACAAGTCTTAGAATCTGAAGCCAATGTACTTATGGCAAGCTCCCTATTTCTCATTATCAAGCAGTGGCAGGTCAGAATGAAGTGAGGAGGCACGATTGATGCCGTCTCGCCAGACATAAGTTCGTTCCGGCTACTGCCCGGGCCGGTTCTTGGAACCCCCGCTGGGGTCCTGACCGACCGTTGGTGACAGACTTCGTGACGTGCCGTCGGCAGAACGTGACTGAACGGTCGGAAAATCGTGTCGGACGCAGCTTATAAGAGTGGACGATCGAGCAGCGCGTCCACTCTTATAAGACTCGAAACGCGTTTCTCCTAACTCCGGCGGAAGCACCGGGAACACCAGCGGCCTTGTAGGATATAGAGTAGGGAGCCTCCAGGAGACTCCGGCGGTAGCACCGGCCCCAGCGGTAGCATCGCGTCGTGGACCGGTGGACGAAAATAGACAGCTGCCTAAACGGGATTGATG